ATTAATATTCAAAATTTTATTAAAAAATTTAAATATTAAAAAAATTAGTAAAAATCTTCACAGGCAAATTTGCCTGTATTACAATTTAAGGGATAGCTTGTTATTTTTGCAAGAGCTTCACCCATAGTACGGTTAAATCGTTCAATCATTCCATTTGTTTGTAGACGGTAAGCAGATGATTTATAATGTTTTATTTGAAAATTATTACACAATTCCTTTACAATATTACTTAAAAAATTTGTTTCTTGGTCAGATAGCAATATTGTAGGTGTTTCATGTTGACAAATAATATTTTCATATATAAATTTAGCAACAGTTATAGCTTTTATATTGGCTATAGCTCTTGCTTCTGGCCATTTAGTTAAATAATCCATAGCCACAATAATATATTTATTACCTTGTTTAGTTGGAGATAGAGGTCCTTTAATATCAATTCTAACTCTATGGAAAGGATATTTTACTTCCAAGGGATGTAGATCTTGCTGTCTAACTTCATATTCTCTTCATTGGCAAATATCACATGTTTGAATATAATTTTTGATATCATTGTACATAGTGGGCCAATAATATCTTTCTTTTATTTTATTAAAAGTAGATAAGATACCTAAGTGTACTTCTTGTTTATTATGTAGAGTATACAAAATAAGATGTTTTTGGTCTGGTTTGATTACTCGTTGGGGCTTGTCCTTATTTCTTTTATATAGTTTGTTATTTTCTATAAAGTAATGTTTTGCTTCTTTTTGGATTTGAGATTTGTCCATATTAGAGATGTTCAAGTCAAATTGTAGAGAGAAAAGATATTAATATAGCTGATTATATAGTTTGCTATCTATTATTTTTTAAGTATTCTGATAGGCGAAATAGAAAATCAGCATTTTTGCTTTGGCTACTAGCTCAATATTTAATATCAAACTGGTATTCTTGGAGAGTCATCCTCCATCAAGTTATCCATTTATTGTTATTAATTGTATAAGAGTTTAACAACCATTATAGTGCCTTGTGATCTGTTATTAAAGTAAATCTTGTTCTATAGATATAATGTTTGAAATATTTAACAGCCTAAACAACTGCTAAATATTCTAATTCAACAGTGCTATAATTTGTTTCAGCAGGAGTTAAGGTTCGACTAGCATAAGCAATTACATGCTCTTTACTATCCTTGATTTGAGAGAGAACTGCACCTAGTCCTTGGTAAGAAGCATCAGTACAAAGAATAAAAGATTCAGAGTAATCAGGATATTGTAATATAGGAGAATGTGTTAGACAATGTTTTAACCAACTAAAAATCTCATCTTGGGGCTTTTCCCAAATAAAAGGTTCATCTCTTTTTAATAATTTTAACAAAGGTCCAGCTCTCTTAGAAAATCCTTCAATAAAATGTCTATAATATGATGCTAACCCTAAGAAAGCTCTAAGTTGAGTAAGGTTTTTGGAAGGAGAAAGATCATTTAGTTTATCAACCTTTTGAGGATCTGGTCTAATTTCTTTAATTCCAATTACATGTTCAAGAAACTGCATTTTATTAGTACAAAAATGGCATTTTTGTGGGTTAATATAAAGTTTGGCTTGTATTATTAAGCTAAATACTTCCTGAATGTCCAATATATGTTGTTTAAATGAATTTGAATATATATTTATATTATCAATGTAAACCATGGCCTTTTTCCAAAGAACAGGTCTTAGTACTATATTCATAAGCCTTTGGAAGATAAAAGGAGCATTACATAATCCAAAAGGCATTACATTGAATTCATATAAGCCATATTTGGTAACAAAAGCAGTTTTTTCCTTATCTTTTTCTTTAACTTCTACTTGCCAATATCCAGAAGTTAAATCTAAAGATGTAAACCATTAAGCATTACCAAGGTTATCAAGCATTTCATCAATCTTTGGTAATAGGTAAGTATCCTTTTTTGTTATATTGTTTAGTTTTCTAAAATCTATACAAAATCTCAACTTGCTATTTTTCTTTTTAACAAGAACAACTGGAGAGCTCCAAGGGCTTTCAGATTTTCAAATAATACCATCCTCTTCCATTTGTAAAATTTCTTTTTCAATACACTCTTGTTCCATTGGTAAGGCTCGGTAAGCTCTTTGTTTAATAGGATAAGAATCACCTGTATTAATAGTATGGTATATAATATTAGTTTTACTTAATTCTGCAAAAGTAGTAGCAAAGATATCTGCATTGTCACGAAGTAGTTGTGTTATAATTTGTTGTTGACTATTATTTAATGTATATCTAATAAAAGTCGATTTATTCTCAGTAATATGTATAGGAACTTTCTGGGCTTCTTTTCTCTTGTCTTTTATTTCATTTATTTCTAGTTGAATTAGTTTAAATATATTTGGAGAAGGAGGATTTAAAGGATTGTTAACATTTTCTATTTTAACATTTGCTATAAGTTGTTTATTAAGTTGAGAAAAGGTATTTCCAACTTGAATCGTAGTATAAATTGGCTCAGTAGGTTCTTCATTTTCTAGTTCCTGATTAGAATATAGATTTTTAAAGTTAATTGGATATATTGTATTAGGGTCTTCTATTTATTGTTTACAAGATATTGGAATATATTCTACTTGGTCTTCTATTCCAATACTCATATATTCACCATAATAATTAATAGTGGCTTGAACTTGATCCAAATATTCATTACCAAGTACTATATTATATTTCTTAGATTCAGTTACTAACATATCTATATATATTAATTTGGTGCCAAGTAAAACAGGTACATTTTTAACACATTCTAGTGGAGTAGTTTTATTACCAGTAATATTAACAACTCTAACATTACTAGGTTCATCTATTCATGATTAACTTTATCAAGAAAATGGTTAACTACAACACATCCTTTAGAGCCAGAATTAATCAAAATATTAATTGTAACTCTCAAGACCTCAGCAGTAGTAAATAAAGCATCTTTAACCTGATTTGTTTGAACAATATTGTCTATATTATAATTAATTTCACCTGTATTC